AGAAAAATGACAAATCTAATGTCATTCTAATGTAATTTGGTTAGACTCTGTGAATAAATTGAGGGCATAAATTTGCAATCCTCTTTTACTCAATGTTATTGCTTCTATGAAGCCACAAGCTACCTGTTGTTGGCATTTCAAAGCAGATCAACTTGCAGGAAAGCATGATTCTTTCTTTCTGTCGCCTGAACGTGTTTAAGCTCGCGATGGGACGGTAGGTCCTTGCGTAGGCTGAATCGAGATGATGTATGCTCTGGGGACTGGCCGTCGAGGCGACGGTTTAGAGGCCACTTTTCCCATCAATTTAAGGCTACAGAAGCAATCGTTTTGAAAGTGCAGCCGCTAAATATTTACATTTTTCTACACTTTGCACCGTTGTGTTGCTATCAAAGTACAAGAACTAAGAAAAAAATACACTCAATTTTTGATATTTATGCTGCTTTAAATCAATTTTGGTATGAGATTTCCGTTTTTTGTCGCTCTCGGTCAATGGTGTTTTGTGCTACCATTCCGGATTAAATGGAGCCACCCGAATTGGAAACTTGTATGATTGACGCCTCAGATACAGATCCACAAGCTTCCATTGATGGCATGCGCTGGGGACGCACTGTCACGCAAATTCAGGTCAAGATAGAAACTAAACATTAAACTCTTCACGACAAGCAATTCAGCATATTTGGCGCTCGACGACCGAGCGAGTAAAGGAATTGCGAAATCACACTTTCTTTACCTAAGCTATGCTTTTCTTTGCGATATTTATATTGTTTATTATTATTATTATTATTATATTAATTATATATATATATAAATGCAACTTTGAATTTAAGTAGGGAATAAGTAGTATAGTAATATATGTAGATGTTAAAGTTATTTTATTAGAAGCCAACTTAACTTATTTGATCTAACTCCTGGGCGCCCTTTCGAGTAAATGTAAACCCCAAAAAATGCAATCCACACAAGACTGACCAAATTTAGCTTAGCAACAAAGTATAGTTGCTATGCCACTTTTACCCGTTTCCTCCATCGGGACTGACAACATTCGTCGTGGCCAAGTTAACGACGTCACAGACAGAGTTTGTTCACACCTCGTCTGAGCGGGTCTCATCAGCGTCACCGACGGGATTTGAGCAAGGCTCGTGGGTGGCGACACAAGTTCCCGCAATTAAGCAAGCATTAGCGTCGACGACGTTAGTTATTTTCATTGTAAGTGGTTGCTATAGACTACCGGTAATTGTTGAATAAAAAATTAGTCGGCCTATGCAGTTTAAGGCGATTTATGTACATTAAACCTTATGCTACCGGCCGAGAAGCTATTTAATAATTACTGCAAGCCACGAACAACTACTTATAAAGAAAATAAGTAGCTGCTTCGGTTGTTGGCCTAATTGACAATCCCAATTGCATTGAAGGTCGTGTTTGGTCTGCACTCATTTGGAGTGGCCAGTGAAGCGGCAATATGTGAATTGGAATTGTCAATTAGAACAACAACCGAAACAGCTACTTATTATCTTTATAAGTCGTTGTTCGGGGCTAGCAGTAATTATTAAATAGCTTCTCGCCGGTAGCATAAAGTTTAATGTACATAAATCGCCTTGAAGGTCGTGTTTGGTCTGCACTCATTTGGAGTGACCAGTGAAGCGGCAATATGTGTCGCCAAGATACTCACGGATCAGACTCAGATCGAGCTGGGGATGACGGCGAGGTGAGTTAAGACGAAATTAACACTGCTCTCCAGTTCAGTTGAGAGCAGAAGAAATGGGAAAATCTCCCAAAAAGGAGGCTATACAGACTGTCAGAATGTATGTTTTCATCTACTCGTAAGGTGTGATGAACTCTCAAATATCAAGTGTAAAATCACCTTAAGATGATATTAACTTTGTTAAAATTTGATGCAATCGACGATATTACTTACTATCGATAAAGTAGACTGGGCGACTTTCTTGAATTACTTAATATAGTCGGTCAAATTAGTGACTATATAATAATTAGATGCACATAAACGCGCATTTTTCTATTTAGTAATGATCGCGCTGATAAGCCTAAATTGTAAGGATGCTAGAATGATTTTTTATGATGAATAGATGGCGAAAACACAATAGATAATGGCAAACTTGGCAAAAGCGTATGTGCCAGGATGTGTGAATTAATGGCTCCATTAGGGTCGTCGAAGCCATGCTTCTGCGCAAAAGTGTGTCTGTTCATTTGTGATTTTCGGGGAATGTTTGCGTAGGCGAGACGCAAGAGGAGATAGCAAATTGTGATAACAAATTCTATTCACTCTCGGTCGGGCCGGCTGAAGAAGTGGGCATGGTTGACTTTTTACAGTCTGAGCTGAGTCGACCTGACGACGCTACTGAAAATCACAATTCCGTCGTTGTGCGCTTCTTCCACGCTTCATCTTCCGCCCCCTCTTCGGCCGCAGATGATGCGAGTCCCCGTTGGAAACGCCATTCGACAGACCTCTTCAGAGCTGGAATGAATTCCGGCAAAGTCTCCGGTCGACACAAATTCCAATCGACCGACGAACAAAAAATGTGTAGATGGACATACACAGACATAAAAAATGCTTTACTTTTGGATGGTTCTATGCCTGTATATGTATTTTTATGTGTGTATGTGTGTGTGTGTGTGTGATTT